GACACCCCGCCCGCACCCGTCGGCACAGGGAAGGGGCTGCTCCAGCAGGCAGGAAAGCTCCTCCAGCAGTCAGGGCAGCAGGACCTGCAGGTCTGCGGGGAGCCACAGGGGTGGGAGGAACGAGCTGAGGGGGAGAAGGTCCACACGGCACCTGCACCGCAGCAGCTTTACGACGGGAGGCGATTTCTCATCTTGGCACTGAAGCGGCTCAGCACGGAGTACAGAGGATGAGCTGGTGAAAACCAAGGAGCTCAATTCCCTCTCTAATTTTGTTATAAAGCTCATTTGGTGCTTCAGGGAGCTGATTCAGTTCACTGAGCAGGCACAAAAGCACTCACCTGGCTTTGCTGCTGCTTTAGTGAACCGACTCAGCTTAGTGGATGATTAGAAAAGGACCAGAGCTCGCACGGGGGAAGCAGCTGGGAAGCACTACCCAGCTGTCACAGCAGCCTCCTCTCCCCAAGGCCAGCCCCGTGCCCGCTTCCTCAAGGGACACAGAAACCACACGACATCACTGTGAGCATGACCAGAGACAGGACTGGCAGGGGGAGGTCAAGGAAGGAGTCTCCACATGACATAGGAGGGCTGGTTCCTTCACAGAGGCATCAACCAGGAGATGTCAACCCCTTTTCTTGACAAGACGAGGAGACAGACTGGAGCAGAGTCACCTCTGCCTTCCCCATGGTGTCCTTATGTGACCCCCAGGGTGCAGCCCAGACCAGGAGCCAGGCTGCCTTCACCCTCCTCGAGTACCACAAACTCCCTCTTTCAGGTCCAAAATAGAGTCCAGCACTGTTACCCCATTACTCAGGTCAAATATTTCCAATTCCTACTGTATTTCTCTCCAACACACAGGAGAACTGAGGATCTCGGATTCCAGCAGCTCTGCACAAGAGCACACGGATGTAACCCTTGCAACACTGGCATCAAAAACCTGTTGAGAAGTGGGGGCAGCAGGGAGGGTCTCGAGCCTCACATGGTCTTCTGGTTCCTCTGCGCCACAGCCAAGCCACCAGCCCAGTGCCGGAACTGTGTCCGCCTGGGGCTGCTGGCACAGCTGCAGCTGGCCAGGAGGGGAAGGCAAGCGCAGAGGACGCTCATCCGCCGAGCACTGCCCTGGGCTGGTGCTGGAGCAGGCGAAGGATGGCCACAGCCACTCCCCACAGCCCGCCAGCGGGGCGAGCAGAGCCCTCCGCCCAGCGGCCCTGCTGCCGGGGGGTTTCCAGCCGTGCTGGAAAATGAATCTCATTTTTCTGCCAGGAGGAGGATGGCAGCGAAGCCGACCAGATGTGACCATGGGAAGCTGAACTCCTGCTCTGCATCTCCAGGCTTTTCCCAGCCAAGCATCCCACCTGCTCCCACAAGCCTTCCTTCCCCACAGCCCCACAAGATGGAGAGCACGGGGCTGGGGACGCCAGGCAGTGACCCTGTGGCTCCCCCCGCCCACTCCTTCACCTCCTCACTCCCAAGGGGTGCAGGCACCGAAATCCCCACCAGCACCACTCCTCTGTGCGTGCTCAGTTCCCGCCAGCCCAGACACGCACCCCCTGCTCACAGGGAGCAACCAACACTCAAACCTCCCCAGGACAAGCCTGAGAAAGAAAGGTGACGACTACAAATTCCCCCCCGGGGTGCAGCGGAAAGGCATCCACGGCACGGCCAGGCGCAGTCTATTTCATTTTGGGAGCTGATCCACATCCAAAGGCTGTCACCCCTCCTTCCACACAGAGGGCACGTCCCACAGCAAGCAGCCTCCGCAGCCGTGAGGACCCACTTAACAAGGTGCACCCCCACCTCCGATGCCTCCTCTCCAAGCCCCGCTGGGGCCAGCTGGGGCCCCCACAGCCTTGGCAGATGGACGCTTCCCCTTGCACAGGGGCCAGATGCTTCTCCCCAACCTCCTCGCTCCCCTTCAAAGGGCCAGGTGCTGGGAGAAGCCCCGGTGTCAAACCAGCCTCCCAATACTCCCCATCCTCTCAACTTTCATCCTGAGGACGGCCTAAATCCTGATGTCCTCTGCGGATGACATCGGGGGATGCAGTTTTACGGCCGCAGCAGGCAGCTGCTCCCACCAACTCCGTGTCACGGCTGCGGGGGGCGCATTCAGTCTGCCCAGAGTCCCGCAGCTCACCCCAGCACCGTCCTTACCCCCCAAACACGCAGGCACAGGCACCAGCCTGGGGTGCCACCTGCCAAAACCCAACTACCAGCCCAGGAACATGCCGTGCTTGGAAGGGCCTCAGCTCTGAAGCTCGCCATGCAGAGGGCTCCCCATCCTCCCGGTCCCAGCACACCCCAGCCCACCCTGCAAGGGCAAAGCAGGATCCCACGCGGACACGTGAGTATTTCGGGTGAGCGCTGCACACGATGAGCCAGCTGCCTCCTGTCTCTCGCCTCGTCAAACACAGCAGGCTCAGGGGAATGTGCCAGAGAGAAGGATGGAAATAACCATCTCTCCTGAGAACCCCAAATGCTGTTTCACCCTTCTGCATTGACTTGGAAAATGTCACACGCCAGGGGAGGGAATCCATTGAAAAACGCACCTTCCCTTCAGTTCAGCTGCCCGGCCCACTTTGGGGCAAACAAGCAAAACCCTCTTGTCAGGTGTTGCACCACGCAGTTCAAACCCCTCGGTAACTAGAAGCTCAACAAAAACATGCTCTGTCTCACCGAGCACAGCATTTTCTGCTCATAGCAACGACTCATGGAAAGGAGTCACGGAAGAAATAACTCAGCAAGCACAAGACAAGGCTTTTGGGTCGTGGATTGCTATTTCAGCTCTGTTGACCCAGATGAAAACCCCAAAGTCGCCAAGAGCTGCTATAATTCTGCTTTTGAGAGGTTTTATTAGTTTCTTATGATGATAGTTAATCTTGGGACAGAGTGGAATAAGTGATCATGTAATTCCTGCCAAAGGAGAAATAAAAGCACCTGACTTGGAAAGGTATTTATGGGCTAGTTTGCGGTGTCTGCAAACCGGAGAATAGAAAGATTTTAGCATACAGGTCCCCTGTGAGAAATATCAGACTGTTTTCCAAGGTATTTCCACATCTTACTCTGATGCTATTACACCGCAAATGCAAAGTCTGGACACAAGATAAGCTTTCATCAGTATACTGCACCATAGCTATCAAGTTGTATTTTACAAATGGATGTGGGAATAACAGAATTTGGAGAAAAACCCTCTTTTCTTGAAGAAACACCTTTTCTTTACGATGCTTCTCTCAACCCAGTGAGGAAGGATGGAAGCACACGAAGACCTAATGATTTGGTTTCTTCCTGCCAACCTGTGGATCCATGATAAAGACCACGAGCAGGTTTGCTGCCCACACACACACTATTTCCTACAGTGACTGCAGGCACTTACACAGCGAGAAGGACGGAGGCAGCCGGCGCTCCCCATGCTCCATCGCAGTGTTTATCCTGCCGTCAACCTGCACGGCAGGCAGAGCTCGAGGAGTCTGCCAGCGAGGAGACGGCCGCTGAGACGTGCCACGGATCCACGCCGGGTACCCTGGCCCACCGCGCCCACGAAGGCATGTGTGGAGGTGGGAACCCTTGAGACCAAAAAGGCTTTCAGTGGCACTACCTCAAACCACGGCTCCCAAACACAGAGCTGTGGCAAAGTCCCTCCAAGCTTTGGTTTCCTTATTTCCCTCTCTCCTCGCTGTAGACCAGGACGATGAGCTGAGCAAGGCGGCCCCAGCTCCCAGGCTCTGCTGTTGCTGCGCTGTCGAACAGCCCAGGCTCTCCGCCTGTCTTCCTGCTGGTGAAGTGGGCTCGTACTGACACGGGCCTGTGCCCAGCTGTGGGTGAGTACCTGGAGGGTGCAGGGGTGAGCAATCCCGCGGCAGCAGAAGTAAGGAACTACCAGAGGTGGACCATGCCCTAACCAAGCGATGCTGTGGTTCGACTGGTGAGACCCAGCTCAAGTCAGAGATCGCTGTCTCCTAGCTAGCCTGGGAGTCACCACCTCCCCGGGAGTCATGTGAAACTTTCTTAAATACAGCCTGGGAAAAACAGGCAGGGAAAACAGATCCTTCAACATCTGTTGACTCCACAGCCCTGCTCGGGAAGCAGAGGTTTACGGTGAGGGCCGTTGAAGCAGGCAGGTCTCCTCCCATCTGCTCAGCACACAGCATGGCTGCACTTCCAGCAAAAGCAGCTCCCTGGGATGAATTTTCATCCGGCTCTTCCAGGAGGCTGGTCTCTCTGCCAAACTGGGGCTCTCAGTTCTCAGCCATGGTGGCATTGGAGGTGTTTGAATTGATGGAAATGAGGGATGGACGTGTAATATGGGAAATCTCTGTTCTCTGCCCCCTCCCCTGGCTGAGAGCTGTGAGCTTTGGCTAAAATCCAACCTAATAAACCCACTAATCCCGTAATAACCCCAGATCGAGTCCCATTCTGGAAATATAAACGTGGGAATATATTCAGGGCACAACAGGTAAGAATGCAGCATTTATCACCTCTGCCAGCCTCTAGCAGCGGCAGATTTCCTACACCTCTGCAAGAGCCCTGACCACAGGGTTGGAGCATTGCCCTCTCCTCCCTTCTCCCCAGCTCAGAGCCCCACGGACCAGGGGAGCGCAGGGAAATGTTTCCCAGGAGGGTCAGTATCTGCAGCAGGGCACCCAGGAGCTCAGGGCTGGGATCAGAGCACCCGATCAGCACCGACGTCACCCGGTGAGAGCAGAGCTGTGAACATCGGGCTGCCCTGGCCCCCTGGCTCCGGGCGGATCCAAACAGGAGTGGAAAAGAGTCTAGAAAAATCTGTTTCAACAGGGAAAAGGTGCTTCTCTTTCCCAGGGAACACCTGTGGCATCAGAAACAACGAAGTGAATGAACGCATCGTGCCAATACCGTGACACACAGTAACTGCGCTGCCCCTTCCAACCCCTAACAGCCTGTGGTTCTGTGTGTCCTTTGGAGAAATACATGAATATACAAATTAATTACCAAAACAAAAAACCAACCAGAAAAGAACTGAAATAAAGCATAGCGCTCTGAAGAGGCTTCATTCTCTCCCTCTGCACTTGCATTTGATAACTGTGAAGGGGGCCAGACAGCTGAACCAAAGAGAAAATGCAGTTTCAAGTGATTCCTTCTCCTGGCATGAAATTTCCCAACGTACCGGGAGGCGCGGTCAAGGCTGGATCTGGCCGGAGGAAGACTCAAAGAGAGGGCAAGAGCGTGACTGACACTACAGGGGCACAAACACCACTTTGATGACTGCAGAGTGACAGCAGGACCGGTCCCCCTTCGCTTCTCCGTCCCATCAACAGGTCAGTGGACAGCGCACACCTGGATGATGCCCTTCACCTGCTTCCCACCAAGCACCAAACCACCACATTTAAGGGAAGAAAGGGCCGGCCCTTGCCACGGCTGTAAACAGCATCAGCCCCAAGCACACGGCTAAACCACTGAACGCATTTCAGACGTAAAGGGGACTCCTGGTCCCCAAGGAGGGTCCCTTCCAGTAGTGGCCACTGCTTTTTCCACAGCTGTATTTAGCCCACAAGGCTGCGCACAGCAGACCTCTGCTCTCTAACGCAGAGGCCGGGGAGCTCACAAAGCAGGAGGCTGCTTGCCCTAATTAGCAGCCTCCAATTCGCCTCCCATCAGCACAAGCTGCAGGGAGAGGCAGAGCATTCACCGCAGGGATGAACTCGGCACAAGGCTGGGAGTCAACGAATTTCACCAATTCCTACCTTCTCCCAAGCGCCTCGCTGCTCCCCACAGCGGCCCTCCTGCCGCAGGGACCTGCCCCCTCTCCAGCAGCACATTTTTGCTCCTGAGAGCACAGGCTGTGCTGAGCACAAGCTGTTGGGGTCAGGCCAGAGCGGGCTCAACCCTGAAGCCCCCATTTCGTGCCACACAGCATTGTAGAAAAGACCTCGCTTTGGCTCAGAGACACAACACAGAGATTACCAGCGATGCCCCCAGAAACAGTGTCCCCAGGCAGGACCCTGCAAGTGGTCTGCAAGGAGTTGGTGAAACGACCGTGGCCGGAGCCCTACGAGGAAGAGAATGTCTCCAGAGCACAAAAGCACTGTCTCTACCCTTCTTCACCTCCTCCTCCTCCAGCACAGCTCCCCCTCCTCCAGGCGTGCTGCAGGCTGTGCTGCTGCAGCACTCATCGCACATGGAGACAACCCAAGCGTGTACAGGCAGCCCCGCTGATCTGGGAGGCACCACATCTGCTGCCTCAGACAAGGTTAACGCTAAGCAAGCAGCCAAGATCACCACGGCTCCTGTTAGGCACCCGTCTGCCCCACCACCCTCCCGCAGTCCCATCCTTACCAGCTTGGTTTTGTCCATGGCTGCCAGGACCGCAGAGTTGAGGGCTTCCAGGGCAGAAAGCACGTTCCTGTATTCTCCCAGATACGCTGAGAAATAATCTGAAGCAGGAGAAGACCATCGTGAGCTTTCTGGGCGCCTCCACCTCCACCTGCCCTACACCTCTTGCTTCCTGCATGCAGCCCAGCACTGCAGGGTGGCATCTGTGTCCCTCTCCAGAGCAACACTCCCACCTGGACTGAAATGAAGAGTCCTTTCCTATCCCCTGGGACAAAACATCCCATCCCCTTGGGAAAAGCATGGATGCTCTCTGTGCTGCGACTGTCAATGCCAGTTGACTGCCCAATCCTGCCCAGGTCAGATGTGCACAAAGCCCCACCACAGACCCTTAAGAGAGCAAACCCTCCAAGGCAGGAATATCACCCTACTTACCACACAACTTCTCTGTGTCCACGTTACTGCAAGAAACAGAAAAACAAGCTCTTGTGAGATAGTGGGGCTGGTTCAGGAGAAACAGTTGTGGTGAGCAGGGTCTTGAGGGCTTGTCTGGGGCCCTCAGTGGATTCACTGCTCCTCCCACGTATTTTCAAAAGCTGTGTTAGAAAAATAAAAAGCTGCACAAGTTTAGAGCCAGCAGCTCAGAAGCTGTGCCCAGCACTTGCAGCACCCAGGCAGGGCTGCAGAGCATCACCTCTGCTTCAGGTGCTGAAGGAGCAAGCAAGGCTGCTCCACCACTATCTCCCAGAGCTGGAGTGTACTGGGAAAGCATCTGTGAGAGCAGGATGCGGCCAGGATGCAGGTCAGGGGAGCCAAGCAGTGCCCCACATCCCTGGGCTGCCCAGCTGGGTCGGCAGCCCCATTTTTGAGCCCTGGAGCAAAGCTTTCAGCCAGGGCTCCCTCCTCATACGTCCCTTGACCTCAGCCCAGGTTCTCCCTTGTGGCTGCCCCATGGCACCAGGCTCCCTCCTCTCCCATCTGCCCCACAGATGCCCCCAGCTGCTCCTCCCCTGCCTCCGGAGCCCAGGTGATGTGGGGCTGCCTTCAGGCTCCCAGGGCAGAG